TATATTATTTATTATATATATATATATATATATATATATATATATATTTATTTATATATCCTATGGTATAGTATGCTTACGCGCGCCGTCTAATCTCTAAAATGAAACGATACATTATTGTCTGCGGTATTTTTTTTTGTTTTCGGGTATTTATATATATATATATAGTATATACAATTTATTTTTGGTATTTATATAATATATAAGTCAATGAAAAGCTCAATGGCATGACCATGTAGTATTCATTGAGTACAATAAATCTGAAAGTCCGTACGCTTCACGATACTCCTTGCATAATCGATCATAATCGGCCGGGAAAAGAGAATATTTTTCGTATCAGTTCTACTATTTTGATCAATTATAAATTATCAGGAAACTTCAATATACCTTACTCTTTGCAACTATCAATTTAGCAAATGAGACTATTCGAGGATGGCAGCACGATTTATGCAATTAAAGAGGATCGTGAAGGTAACTCTGCTCTCGACGACAACGTCGTACTAACATTTATGTAATTTTTCGTTTATCTTGGCAACTAGGCAAGCTCGGTCGTTCACGGAAGGCATCGTATGGTGCTTATTAAATCGTTGCTTCAACAATTATAACAATTTTCATCGCTCTCATCTTTTTCTTTTCCCGCTTATTATACTTTTAATTTTTATTATCCTCACTGCTATCTTTTGCTTATTTCATTATTGTTCGATCAGAAGATAATGTCAATGCACAAAAGCTGGCGCGATTCACATACGCTTAAACTTGGTTTTCTTTTCGTTATTTAGTAGTACGTACATATATTGAGGCAAGCGGGTCGCAAAAGCTCCCGAATCAGAGGAAATATAATATATTGTATTATCTATACGTATGTATATATATTGTCTTCGTAAGTTTCCTGCCTTTCTCTCTTGATGTCCTAATCCACTGTTGGTCGTAGAGCTATATATAGTTATATACTTGGAAAGTTTACTTGAAAAAATTCCTTAAAAGTGAACATGTAAATAGAAAAGATTTGAAAGCGGTAGAATTTCACTAAACTCAAAATTTAATTCAACTCATCAAAATTATACCACTTTCAGTTCTTAATGTGGATATGAGAAACAGAACGGAGAAAATAAAACTTACATTGAACAAGATAAAAGAGATAAGGTAGAAAAAAATACGTATCGAATTACTAACAAGTGGATACAGTTAGGAACAACTTGTCGCTCGTAACTAAATGAAATGCGATTGAGAATCACTCGTTGCGGATTGCAGACTTTAAACGAAGAGGAACAAGCGAGAACAGTTCGCACAAAGAGAATGAGCCTGCCACGATGTAAGGAAGAGATCCGTTGCAGCCGAATCATCCGATTAATTAGTGTACTATCTCGTATCCGTACAATATTACATTATAATTATATAAAAATATATTTCTTAATTATTAACACTATAATAAATGAGTATTGTAAGCATTATATCTGCACTTTTTTTTCATCTTTCTTTTAAGTTCTTTCGTAAAGTGGTAGTGGTAAACACGATGCCTGTCGCGGATAACCGAAGCTTCTATACATACGAAACGTCGAGGAAGTACAACCGTGACGTACCGGTTTGCCGTATGCCGTACACACACTGGCACACAATTTCAATAATACGGTAATATCTGTATCTTTCTTTCCATCTTATTTCTTTTTTTATCAATAACAATATCACTTATCACTTGTAGTACTCGTGTAAATAAAAAGACGCATAAACTGTTATAAAATACATTCTCGAGTATTATCAATCTGTAGAGTATATATATATAATATACGTTCTTATCTACGCGTCCGAACGAATAAAATCATATAAACGTCGTAATATAATAATTTTAATAGTACAATATTGGAAGCATTTAATATCATACTTAGGTGTTATTCGAGCCTCGGATTTCGGTGAAGAGATTATTGCGAGGTTTCGGTGTACACTTGGTGTCTTTCGTCGCACCGTTCCCAAACAACACTAACGTAAACCAAAAGACGTAAAGACACTCTAATTCTTCGAATGTTCCTTACACATCTTTTCTATATCCTTTGGACGTTTTTGTGTTATTCGTGTTTCATCGAAACTACCAATCTACACTCCGTTAAGCGCACGCTAGAGCTATTTGTGCAAATCAGAATTTCGATGAAAGATGCCACGCATCGTGCTATTCGTTGCAAGAGGAAAAAGTGATAAATAAAATGAAGAGACCCAGAAAAACGGATTCTCGCGGAATGTGTAGCGCATTTCACGACGTACCACGTATTTGCATCGTCTCATTGTCAGACTATAATCACGTTACATTATAGGAATAACGTGTCGTTATCATGCCACCTTTGTAAGTACAATAATAAAAAAAAATCTCTCGCATGGACATCAATCACCGATCCGTATGG